ATTACTCACCCGGAACCTGGATCGTGTTCCGGGTAATGGTTCGCCAGTGCAGTTGGCGAGTTGTCCGGTCTTCTCGGACTATTCCTTGACACTGGGTCATGCAGCTGGTTAACTTTAGGTGTGGTTGTTGTGTTGGCGACAGCTTTACACCTTAAACAAATTCACGCCAAGGTGGCCCTAGGGCCGGCCATCCTCGTTACACGAGGGCAAACCATTATTATATATTGTATATTATATAGGTGGGTGGCGGTGGTGGTATAGGTGGCAGGCGGTGGCGATGGTGATATGCGGGTGGTGGTGGGTGGATGGTGGTGGTAGGTGGGTGGTGGTGGTAGGTGGATGGTGGTGGTGGTGGGTGGTGGACGGTGGTGGTGGTGGGTGGATGGTGGTGGTGGGTGGTGGGTGGATGGTGGTGGTGGGTGGATGGTGGTTGTAGGTGGATGGTGGTGGGTGGTGGGTGGTGGATGGTGGATGGTGGTGGTGGTAGGTGGATGGTGGTGGTGGTGGGTGGATGGTGGTGGTGGTGGATGGTGGTGGTGGTGGATGGTGGTGGTGGTGGGTGGATGGTGGTGGTAGGTGGGTGGTGGTGGTAGGTGGATGGTGGTGGTGGTGGGTGGTGGATGGTGGTGGTGGTGGGTGGATGGTGGTGGTGGGTGGTGGGTGGATGGTGGTGGTGGGTGGATGGTGGTGGTGGGTGGATGGTGGTGGTAGGTAGGCAGAAACACGTATCTTTTATTCATGATAAGCATTACCTCTTGATGGTTGTTCTGTGGCACTCCCCTTCTCTCCCAGTCACCCTTGTACCCTGAGTGTTATGGCACCCTGATTATTATGGCACCTGGTTTTGGCACCCTGAGTTTTATGGCACTCTGAGTGTTAAGGCACCCTGAGTATTATGGCACCCTGAGTGTTATGGCACCCTGAGTATTATGGCACCCTGAGTGTTAAGGCACCCTGAGTGCTATGGCACCCTGAGTATTATGGCACCCTGAGTGTTATGGCACCCTGAGTGTTATGGCACCCTGAGTGTTATGGTACCCTGATTTTTATGGCACCCTGAGTATTATGGCACCCTGAGTATTATGGTGCCACAGCGATTAAATCTACCATAAAAATCTCTTAAAACAGATTTTCCTTAACGCAGTATAACATAACCTTTTGCCATCAACTAGAAGAATAATATATAGAGTGAAGTACAGTAATCTGAAGGCCAATATAAGATTATGACGTCTGTCCTTCGTAAATATATTCTGTGTGGAAACTGTGAGAGACACATGAAGCGTTGCTGTGGATATTTTTCTTCCTCTTCAGTTTTGATATTTAAGCAGGTGGTGACATTGAGCCCGAGGACACACACACACACACACACACACACACACACACACACACACACACACACACACACACACACACACAGACACACGAACAAAATGTTTTCCACTACACAGATTGTTCCCTTGATAGAGCCAGGAAGATATATTACTCTCTCTCTCTCTCTCTCTCTCTCTCTCTCTCTCTCGAAAAAATAGCTTTCATCCTCAGTTCCTTTGATCCGTGTCGAGAGGCGCAGTGAGCATTAATTAAAGTTTGATTTTTCTCAGCCTTCCTGACATTGAATCCTAGAAGCGAATGAAGGGCAGATAATCACCGGGTGCCACAATCAGGTGGGTGCCATGATAACTGTGCCATATTCTGATTGTTATCACAGTCTGGTGGGTGCCATGATAACTGTGCCACACTCTGGATGTTATAAGACGATAGCGCCAAAAGAAAAAATGTGTTTTGTAAGCAATACGAGTGTGACATTATCTACATTCTTAACACGGCAGCCAATCAAAACAAAGGATAAAATAACGTAAAAACCCAAATAACACAATGAAGATGATAATAATAAACATAATAATAATAATAATAATAATAATAATAATAATAATAATAATAATAATAATAATAATAATAATAATAATAATAATAATCTTTGGTATAAATCTCACGTCTATTCTTTACCTCTCATGTTTATATACCGGGCCACTAAGGTAGGCTCACCCTAATGGCGTAATTAAGTTATATTCTAACGAGGATGTTCTTGTCATATTTTAATTAAGAGAGGTAATTAGGCTGTAGCTGGAGATCTTACGGGAGTTAATTTTGCTGGAAGTACACCTGGCAATACTAACATAAACTAGGCGTACAAGTTGACACATTTAGCGAGGCCCAAAAAAAAAATCAGGGGCACTATTTTTGGAAAGGTTCGAGAGGATAAATTTTAATGAACTGTTAAAGACTGGAGACTGGTTATAGTGAAGTGTTAAGGGCTGAAGACTGGTTATAGTGAACTGTTACGGACTGGAGACTGGTTATAATGAAGTGTTAAGGACTGAAGACTGGTTATAGTGAAGTGTTAAGGGCTGAAGACTGGTTATAGTGAACTGTTACGGACTGGAGACTGGTTATAGTGAAGTGTTAAGGGTTGAAGACTGGTTATAGTGAACTGCTGAAAATAGAATACACAGCACTTCAACACTATATTATGCAACACTATACATTATACAACACTATACACTATACCATATACAACGATATACATTATACAATACCTTACACTTTACACCATCCGTTATGTAACATTACACTATTTAACACTATATATATTATACAATACTCTCCACTATACAACACTATACACAAACCCCTGACACTATGCACACACATAATCACATAATGGATTGAAGGAAGCTGGACATAAGTACCTCTCATTATCCCCGTAAGATTATGCATATTTCAAGGTGTTTACAGTGTGGGTTTATAACCGCTCAAAGAAGACGAAAAAAAAAACCCCGCCTTCATTACGTTGCTGAGACTTGACTCAATTGGCACACATAATTACGTCCTTTATGTAGAGTTCAACAAGCGTCTCTTTGTCTGTCTTTGATCCGGGGAGCAACACGGGTTCACACGGTTCCTTGACGGTGATACGGGGAGAGTGTAAATAAGTCTACGTCATCGAGAGTCTTGAGACAGGTATAGTTACGAGCTAAAGGTGGGATAAGGATACAGGTAATATAATTATGCTGTGTTTCAGGTGAGTTTATTGTATTTACTCGCTATTTTCGTGAACGGTGGACCACTGGAGCAACACGAGGAAGAACTTTAAGAAATGGAAGGGAATGAAGGAAGGGAGACAGGGTTAAGACAACAATTACACAGGTACACTTAACTCACATTCTCACCTTAGCTAAGCAATATACAGTGGGATTCATCAACATATTTATTGATTCATAATGTTCCATACCAGTTCACTCTGTATTGTGTATATTAACTTGAGTCATTAGGTTTTATTACCGTCGCCACGTATGAGACACCTCCGCCGCCCCGTATGACAGATCTACATCACGTATGACACACTTCCGCCCCGAATGACACACCTCCGCCGCCCAGTATGACAGATCTTCATCACGTATGACACACTTCCGCCCCGAATGACACACCTCCTCCCCGTATGACACACCTCCGCCTCGTATGACACACCTCCGCCTCGTATGACACACCGCCCCGTATGACACACCTCCGCTTCGTATAACACTTCCACCTCGTATGACATTTCCGCCCAGTATGACATACCTCTATGATACAATGTAAAACTGAGAATCGACAAGACACAAGCAACTCTCTCTACATCAGTTACTCCAAACCCCAAAGAGCATTCCCAGCGCCTTACCAAGCCAGGAAACTCTTCCCTAAAGCCACTCTATAGTCTTTAAGCCACCACCTAATGCTTACTTCATCATATCATATCATATCACGAACAAATCTATCGTGACACTAAATTAAGAAGGATACAGTCAATCCTTTTTAGCTGAACTTGTTTTGTTAATTTAGGGTGTATTTAGAAATGAGTTAACGTTAAATGCATCTCTCAGCGACAGACACGAAACACCTGTTAGGGGTCACACTTACCTGACACAGTACTAACTGGTCGTCTTGTTTACCCCGTCGTCCGACGTACTGGCTGGATGTGTTCAAATACACAAGTTACAACAGTGTATTTGTGTTGCACATCTGACAACAGTGTACTCTTGAAATACACATGACAGCGGTGTTGTCTGATGCAAGTGACAAAGGTGGACTTTGAAAACACACACACACACACACACACACACACACGTCCTCAAATACACCCAGATAGAGGGAATACAAGCATACAAACACACGTCACTGAAAACATAGAATGACTTCAACACTTCTCTCTGTTATAGTTGTGAACAGATAGCATGAGTGGCACACTCATGCTATCTGGTAGACCCGTGACAACAAGTTACTAATTACAAAGACAAACACAAGGAACTTCTACGACTAACAAGACTCTCCCAGCAGCCCCTGGAGACTGTCCTGGTATTGACTGGAAATTGTCCGAGTAACCCTCAGAGACTACCCCGGCAACTCCTAGAGACTTTCCTAGCAGCCCCTGGGAACTGCCCCGGCCGCCCCGCGGGGCGTGCCTCTGTTAACAGGTACCGGGATGAAGACAGATTGGTTGAGACAGCAGCGGACTGTGGAGCTCCGCCACTCATGAAGATGAACCACGAAATATCACGAATTTTGGCTTGAGGGATTGTGTGGTGTGGGCGGGGAGGATGATGATGGTGGTGGGCGGGGCGGGAGAAGGTGGAAGGCGGGGATGGGGCGGGGAAGGGCGGGGAGAGTGGTGGTGGTGGTGGTGAGCAGTGTGGGTGTTTGCTGTTTTAGGTAATAGTGGTGCACCTCACAACCTCGTCCTAACCTACACCCCCTTTACTCGTTACTCGTTATTCATCAAGAAGAATAATTAAGGCACCCGAGATATTGTGAAGCTGTGGGAAGGATAAAAAAGAAGCATCTAGTAGAGTCTCCCCTCCACGCAGTTCTTTTTTTCTATTGTTACTTATTCTTCACTCCCCAGGATTAAAGTAAGTAAAGTATCGTCATTTTCCATTTATCTTTTCGCAGTTCCTAGTAAAATAATGCCTTTTGACACTGGCCTCGTCAGGTAAGAACATCGACAATATCAGGTCCGTCTTTTACAATCTAGGTATTTAGGACTTTTAAATACAGTAATTACTTGCCCTCGACTCAACTCTTCACCACTAAGCTACCTCTCTGCTGCTCCTTCATGAGTACCTCGTTAGGACTGGATTATGATGGTCGAGTCACCATAATCAGTCACATTCCACTTATAAACTACAATTGTTTGATCGTCTGGAGGTAATTAGCGGGTAGGTCACAAACCAAGAAATATCACCATGAATTAACCTCCCCTTTAGTACAGTGACTTAGTATCCTTGAATGTAATATCTCATCGTACTCAAGAGAACTGATTGTTGAAATTAACGTAGCCTCATCTTCTCACTGTAGCCTCTGTGTGGACAAGCATAAATCACCCGGGAAACTCTGCCGCTTAACCGTAAACAAAAAAACAACGAGACTTTTTGGAGTTGTGAATAATTTATGGATACGTAAGATGCTGTTGAGTTATCAGGGTAAGTTGAACCATTACCGCACACCACGTATTGTTCTCCTCGTGTAAGTGTAAATGTATGTATTTCTGCTAACCTAAATCTCTACACGTTCCTTGTTTCTTTCCTCGCTATGTTTACCTTCCACCTCCTGCTTATCGAGGTAGGCAACACACAAACACTGCCTTTGTAAAATTAGGATTCCACCACGAGCGAAGGGCTGGTCGAGGGAGAGTAAAAGAAGGGTGATGGAGAGGAAGGGCGAGAAGAAGGGAGACATGAAGAAATTTATAGAGGGAGAAGTATAAAGGAGAGAGGAAGGGAGTGAGGTAGTGAGAAAGGGAGGGAGAAATGGAAGGGAGAGGAGGAAGAAAAGTAGATAGAAGAAAAACAAGGAAGAAGGGGAGGGAGAAAGGGAGAGGGAATCGGAGAGAGGGATGGATAAAGGGAGAGAAGGAGTGAGAGAGGGAGGTTTAAACGGAGAGAAGGAGGGAGATAAGGAAAAGACTAGGGAGAAATGGAGGGAGAGGAAAGGGCGGAGGGAGGAAGGGAGAGATGATGGTGTGTCAGGAATAAACAAGGAAAGGTTATAATCGATAAATGTGGAACAGAAGGGAGAGGGGTAAAGGAAGGAGAGTGGGGAGAGAGATACAGGGGTGAGAGGGGTGGTATGAGCCCTACTTACAATATAGAAGGGAGGGAACAAACAGAGAGAGAGAGAGAGAGAGAGAGAGAGAGAGAGAGAGAGGAATAAATGAAGGTGTAGAGGGAAAGTGAGGAGCAGGAAGGGATAATAGGAGACGAATGAATCATCATCATCATCATCATTATCATCATCATCATCATCATCATCATCATCATCATCATCATCATCATTATCATCATCATCATCATCATCATCATCATCATCATCAGCATCATTATTACTATTATCATTACAAATACTATTATCATTAATCCCAAAACTATCTTACAATGTCATCGTATCAACAAACTATAAATGACAAAATAACATGAAACACGAATGACCAAGAACCGCCTCAGTCAGATCAGAAACGGCAGGCAGTAAATTAGTACATTTTTCAATTATTTTCTTCTAAAAAAACAACGATAAAGCGACAAACAAGAGGATAATTTCTGGCACACAGTCGAATCCCAGTTGAGTCTCGACGTGAGGGAAATTTGCATGATTTTCAAGTTGTATTCGAAAAAATGCAAATTGCTTCAATTCGGTTCCTCACATAATGGCCATTTAATCTCGTTTCTTCTCTTTTCCCTCCACCAATCCTTATCTAACCTTTTTCTCTATTTCTCTTCGTCGTTCTTCTTGCCGTCATTCTCGCTCATATTCTCATACAATCGCCCCTTGAATTCTTCCCTGTTTATTGTGTTGTTGCAAGTGTGTATTAGAGGGCTAGACCAGTTTAAAACCAAACCATAATAATAATAATAATAATAATAATAATAATAATAATAATAATAATAATAATAATAACAATAACAATAATAATAATAATAATAATAATAATAATAATAATAATAATAATAATAATAATAATAATAATAATAATAATAATAAAGTTAAGAATCTGCCAGCTTATTAATAATACTGTATCTTTAAAGTCCATTTTGGAAGAGGTGGCTTGAGGCCGAGCGATATTAAGCAAGTGTTACCAAGAGCTGGTCTGGCCTGGGGGGGGGGCAATCAGGAGTCGGGGTTGCAATCAGGAGTTTAGTGTGTGAGTGGGCCTGGCCGGGGAGTGCAGGCCTGGCCGGGGAGTGCAGGCCTGGCCGGAGGGAGTGCAGGCCTGGCCAGGGAGTGCAGGCCTGGCCAGGCCTGGGGGAGTGCAGGCCTGGCCGAGGCCTGGCCGGGGAGTGCAGGCCTGGCCGGGCGAGTGCAGGCCTGGCCGGGAGTGCAGGCCTGGCCGGAGGTGAGGAGGGCCTGCTGCCCTGGCCGGGGAGTGCAGGCCTGGCCAGGAGTGCAGGCCTGGCAGAGGTGAGCGGGCCTGGCAGGAGGTGAGCGGGCCTGGCCAGGGGAGTGCAGGCCTGGCCGGAGGTGAGTGGGCCTGGCAGGAGGTAAGCGGGCCTGGCCGGGGGAGTGCAGGCCTGGCCGGGGGAGTGCAGGCCTGGCCGGGGGAGTGCAGGCCTGGCCGGAGGTGAGCGGGCCTGGCCGGGGGAGTGCAAGCCTGGCCGGGGGAGTGCAGGCCTGGCCGGGGGAGTGCAGGCCTGGCCGGGGGAGTGCAGGCCTGGCCGGAGGTGAGTGGGCCTGGCAGGAGGTAAGCGGGCCTGGCCGGGGGAGTGCAGGCCTGGCCGGGGGAGTGCAGGCCTGGCCGGGGGTTGAGCCGGCCTGGCCGGAGGTGAGCGGGCTGGGATTGAGGTAGAAAACAAAAAATTCAGTACGCGAGTGAATCATTTACACCGGAGAGCCGTTCGTGAGGCTTTACAATGATAAATAGTAATTCTTTCTCTCCCCTGTTTCGAAATGTTTGAATGATATACAGTATATTTTTAACTCTGTGGGTTATTTATTTTGCTATGGTCATATTCCATCTACAATTGAAAAAAATATATATAATTGATGAGAGAAACAAGACCTTCCTGCTAATATTAATTAGTTAATTAAAATTTGTAATGGAAATATTTTCCTATAGTTCATGGCTCATATTTATATATATGTATACAGTATGTATGAAAGCTTGCATGAATATATGTAAGCATGCAAATGTATCTAGAACGTATGGATGTACGGAGCGCACACACACACACACACACACACACACACACACACACACACACACACACATATACATATACCGGTTTCATGCATGTACTCCCCAGAAACAATGTACTGTACAGTAGGTTAGTATCTTTATGTGTAGATAGATGTGTAAGACGTGTTGTTATAACCATGTGTGTTCTCAGGAGTGAGGTGAGGATCTACAGTGTGACGCCGCCTCACCCTTCCTGATGATGACCTAATGACCACCTGTTTAGAACACCTCCTTCCCTCTTCCTCTCTAATTACCTCTCTACTCCTCCTCCTCCTCTTCTGCCTTCCCCACTTCTCTTTCTCACAAACTTCCTCACTCAAATTCTTCTTCTTCCTTTCCTTCTCATTTCTTCCTTGTTCCTGTTGCCCTCTTTCGTCATTACCCATCTCTCTCCTCCCACTCACTGTTTATTTCTTTATCTCTCTCTTCCCTCCTCTTTCTTCCCACTCATCCAACACCTCCAGCTTGACCGTCATCATCAAGAGTGTGAGGGGAGACTAGAGGATTTTATTTATCCTCCTTATCCATTACTTCCTGAATCAATAACTACTTCCTGCATTATCCACTACTCCCTGCATCATCCACTACTCCTTGCATCATCCACTACTCCCTGCATCATCCACTACTCCCTGCATCGTCTAGAGCACCCTGTCATCCACTCAAGGACTTCGCCCCCTGGACTCAGAGCTGCCACCGCCAGGAGGTGAAATATACAACTGAGGCACAGGAAAAAACGTCACCCCTTTAAAATGTTTATGTTCACTGAAAGCAAGACATGCCAGCTCAATATAAACATGTTGCTGCCTCCTGGATGTTTAAATTTTTCCCCTGCTAACATTTCATATTCCCAGCAGATACAGCTAGATGCTCTCTTGTCGAATTTATAAATATTTTGTGAGTACATTAGTTATGAACTGTTGGCGTAGTGTACCACCTACTGGAGGCTACTGTTTACATTTAATCTCAAGGAGGCTCTCAAGGCCTTAACAAGACTCCAGTAGATTCTTACGGTCTTGAAAAACTGGTGGAAAGTAGCAGCATATGTAAACAGAGTCGTTTTATCTTGAGTGTAAAGAAGGGGGGCAGAATGTAAGAGGATATCTATATGTAATGATGTTAGTGGCGGTAAATATTGTACAGCAACGAGAGACCATATACTGTGTACAAGGAGCATCACGTATATTATTATTATTATTATTATTATTATTATTATTATTATTATTATTATTATTATCATCAATCTCGTTTCTCTTAATACACGGCTGAAGTATACCTCTGTAGCTATCACCTGTTAGTTCTGTCATCCTGTCATGCACACCTCCCCTAGACCAACACAAAACTCCAAAATACTAAGAGAATTATAGATTGCATTTCACATATTCATTTACATTTCAAAAGCTAAATAAACTGGTCCTACATAAAAGTTTATTCTGCCGTTACCTGCTGTTACATATTAATAAAATAAATATGTATCACATGTTACATATTTATATATCAGAAAAGATGATATTTGTGTATGAATTTCTTATGTATTTCTGCCACACGATATCGTTAAATATTCTCAAATCTACATAATACAAAATTACATACCTAAATATTTGCCATGTTACATATTACTGCACTAACACATAACATATCGAACTTAAAGCAAACACAAACTACATATCACAGACCTCTCTAGCATCACATATTAAAAATGTATGCACTACTTACAAGAAAAGACTAGATTACACGGTTACAGCACTACTGTACTGTATTACTGTACTAACTTTATATATATCAAACGTTAAGTAAACAGCTACTACACACAATAGACCTCGCTACAGTCACGATATAAAGTCAAAGAAAATTTTAATTAAACTCCCAGAGTACAAATATCAATGAATACTTTACTTACTACACCCAAGGGATGTGTTTCAGGAATTATAGCGTAACTTATTAATTAAAGGCGAACCTCAGTGTAGAATTTTAATGAGTCCACCCCCCCACACACACACACACGCACACACACACACACACACACACACACACACACACACACACACACACACACACACACACACACACGCGCACACACACACACACACACACACACCCAATTTACATTTTCGATATAGCATTACGTAACCAAGCGGGAGACCAAGGGGTGTGTGTGTGTGTGTGGAGGATTGAGAGAGAGAGAGAGAGAGAGAGAGAGAGAGAAGGTAATGTTTGTCAGCCTGTGTTTGTGTGCTGTTCATTTTCCCCTTGCATGTGTGCGTGTGTATGTGTGTCCGTGTATGTATGAGATAGCTAGTGTATGTGTTTTTTTGTCTTCCGTGTTTGACTTTGTATGTAATTAGTATGCGCTTTTGTATATGTGTACTGTATGTATGCATGCGTATGTGCATATATGCAATAATGTGTGTGTGTGTGTGTGTGTGTGTGTGTGTGTGTGTGTGTGTGTGTGTGTGTGTGTGTGTGTGTGTGGACTTAGGCAAAATCGAGGAGTTAGGCAGCAGTGAGGACTCAGTCAACAGTGAGGACTCAGTCAACAGCGAGGACTCAGTCAACAGTGAGGACTCAGGCAACAATGAGGACTCAGTCAACAGTGAGGACTCAGTCAACAGTGAGGACTCAGGCAACAGTGAGGACTCAGTCAACAGTGAGGACTCAGGCAACAGTGAGGACTTAGTCAACAGTGAGGACTCAGTCAACAGTGAGGACTCAGGCAACAGTGAGGACTTAGTCAACAGTGAGGACTCAGTCAACAGTGAGGACTCAGGCAACAGTGAGGACTCAGGCAACAGTGAGGACTCAGGCAACAGTGAGGACTCAGGCAACAGTGAGGACTCAACAGTGAGACTCAGGCAACAGTGAGAATCAGTCAACAGTGAGGACTCAGGCAGTCAACAGTGAGGACTCAGGCAACAGTGAGGAATCAGTCAACAGTGAAGAATCAGTCAACAGTGAGGACTCAGTCAACAGTGAGGACTCAGGCAACAGTGAGGACTCAGTCAACAGTGAGGACTCAGGCAACAGTGAGGACTCAGTCAACAGTGAGGAATCAGTCAACAGTAAGGAATCAGTCAACAGTGAGGACTCAGTCAACAGTGAGGACTCGGTCAACAGTGAGGACTCAGGCAACAGTGAGGACTCGTGCAGCAGCGTCCAAGAAGCACAACTTTTACACCTTACTGGTTATTGATCAACACGTGTACATAAACAATGAGACCAAAATTTCTCTGTAATTTGAATAACACCAGATATAGGAAATCGATATGTGTGTGTGTGTGTGTGTGTGTGTGTGTGTGTGTGTGTGTGTGTGTGTGTGTGTGTGTGTGTGTGTGTGTGTGTGTGTGTGTGTGTGTGTGTGTGTGACTTTCTCCACCTTATTTAATTTGTCTTTTTTTCCTCTATCTCTTGTTCTGATTCCTTTTTTTTTCCATTGCTCTTATTATCTTTGTCTGTCTGTTTCTCTCATTTTTCCAGCTCTTGTTCCATCTCGTTTTTCCTCCTCGCTAATCCCCGCCTTGTTATCTACAGTGTCTCCTTTCTCTCTCTCTCTCTCTCTCTCTCACGCGTCTCTAAGTTTGATTTACGCAGTGGTTGTATTTGATTAGGGATCGTTGGGTTAGTTTAGTGTTGGTTAGATTAGGTGAGATTAAGTTAGGGTAAACTAAGTTAGCTTAGATTAAATTTAGAATTTTTTTTATTAATGAAAAGCACACACACACACACACACACACAAGCACACACACACACACACCTGTCCTTTTCTCCATCCAAACAGTCACCATACCTGTCCTTCTCTCCGTTCCAACAATCACCACTTCTGTCCTTCCCTCCGTCGCAATAATCACTTTTGCTAATGTTTCCACAAATTCACTTTGTCAGCCCAGCACAGCGGGCCTCCCCCACACACGCCAGAGCTCCGTATAGTAAATATTAATGATTGGCGTTGTTTGGAAATCGGTGTTGGAGGGTTCATTCACCAAGCTGGACAGGGGATCGTTCAGATTTGTGAAGGGGGAAGAGGGAGGCGAGGCAGGGAAGCGAGGCAGGGAGGGAAGCCAGGGAGGGAGAGAGAGGCTGGAAGAAAAGTCAGGGTGGAATGGCGATGGAAGGGGGAAGAGAAGGGGCAGGTAGGGAAAGGGAGGCAGGGAGGAGGAGGGAGACAGCGACGGGGAGGGAGGCAAGGAGGGGGAAAGGAGACAGGATATGAGAGGGAAGGCATAGAGGAGAAAGATATATAATGAGGGGGAGAAAATGAAGGGAAGGGAAGTAAGGGGATGGGGAGATTCTGACGGGAGGGAGGGAAGAGGAAAACAGGGAGGGGAAGGAAAGCCAGGGTAGGGATTTAACTTCAGTGTGGTTCAGACTAAAAGCATAAAAACTCCCGAGAGAAGCGACTAGGGAGAGTGAATCATGAACATGTCCAAAACCCTCTGGAACTTTTGGGGAATAACAAGTTGGAGTCTGTTTAATTTATCTTGTGTGGGTTTTCTGTTTTTCGAGGGACGGTGTACCCTCTCCCCTCCTCCCCTCCCCGCTCACCTGATAATCCCCTTCCTTAAACAGGTAATAAGATCAGGAAGGCACAATGTCCTCCTGTCGCCTAGTTGGTGATGCTTCCTGAGGTGTGTAGTTTTGTGTTAGTATTTCACATATTACTGGAGGTAAGTAGTTCTTTATAAGCAAGCAATATGTCACATTACATAACGAGTCATTAATTCATTTGGTAAAGGTGGAGGAAACGGTAATCATCAGAAGGAACTTATGGAATTGGGCCAAACTTACCAGAGATGTTTGTTCCATGACACAAAATAGGAAAATCGATACGACAATGCACAGAACCTAACCTAACCTAACCTAATCGAGGAACAGAAGGAACTAACTTTAATACTGAGGTCGCGAGTAACACTGAAACAAATAATGTCGGTTGAATGTCACTCCCAACCCGCATTTTAGACACTTGTGCGTCCTTCCAGTAAGTCCAGGCTCACATATTACGACAGTTTGAGATAACTTATGGATTTACCAGTAGACGAGGCCATAATTGCCTACATAAAACATAAGAGGCAAAGCGTCTCCTCCAGGAAGAACAATAACAATGGTAAAATACAGTTGACTTCAAATCCAATGCTACTCCAAATTCAAACGTAAGGTATTCAAAACCCCATTATGGAATTCAATCTTAACCATATGATTCTTATCCTACATACGTAGAAGAGGGTTGGAAACCTTTTGCGCAGTAAGGACAAAATAATAAAGGATTTGCACACACATCAACTCTAAACATATGAGACTGAATCCTCAAAAAACAAAAACAATAAGTTATTAATAAGGGAATAAAACATCCGATCAGATCCTCCATCGTTTCTTTTACATGTTGACAAATACAGGACTTACTACTTTATATCTGTAGCCGCCATATTTATAGTAAATCGTTTATTTCTTCGCCTATAAAGCACGTTAATATGTTAAATTACTGCCATATGATCAGTGTTCGCCAGTTTTTTACCTCTTAATTTCCCTCTTCTCTCATGCCCTCCCCACTAACAACTAATTAATGTTCGAGGGGCGGAGGAAAACGAAAAAAAAAACATTATAGGAAAAATTTGTTATATCGTTTTTATTACTTACTATCATCCAAACATATATGGAAAAAATTAACCAGTTCTCAAGACTTGTGGTGAAAACTGTCTCCTCTATTATTACCGTTCACTTTAATAACAACTATTGTTTACCTGTTTTCTTATTATCGATAAATATTAGTTTTGTTACTGATTCTATTTTCTATGTTCCTGTTTAGACATGCAAGATTTTTTATAAATAAAAAAAAATAGTATTTTTATTATAATTTTAACATTAGCAATGAATGCATTTTTATTATTAACATTAAAACTAACGCTATGAATAGTACTATGATTGCTAATATCATTATTATCAGTTATTATTATTATTATCATTATTATTATTATTAAAATCATATGGTTGAATTATTTCTACGATTATTATAAACACCATTAATACCACTATAACCGTTAACGTTATTAATAAACCACATGGCTTAAAATGTTCGTCATTATTGTTACTCAATTAATTTCATCGTGAAGCAATGAGCGTCTAAAGGGATTACGACCCTCTCCCTGCCATACTTTTATCAGTGGATTTTTAAAACACGGAAACAGGAGAGAAAAATACGCAATTAGGATCAGCATCATTAAGAGGGGCGATAGGGAAGTGGGGCAATCAAGGAGAAAACGGGGAGGAGAAATAATAGCAGAGAAAGATTAGAGTTCCGGAAATAGAGAGGGAGGGAGAGAGGGAGACATACCCAGGCGCGCGCTGCCTCGTCGCCCCTGGCCATTATCTCCAGTGGTCAATTAAGGAATCACCCGCTTTAAGGCTTTTAATTAAGACACGGGGAGATGTGAGGCAGCTCCTGCTCGGGGACGGAGGTAAAACACGATAGAGAGATGAAGATGGAGAGGAAATAGGGAGGAGAACGGAGAGAAAAGCGTAAGAGATAAAAAGAGAATTGGTATTACAGAATGATTCCTTATTAGTCTCCTTAGCTTAATTTAACCTTGACTAAATGGACCAAACTTATACTATCGTCAGTTTATTTAACCTAACCTAAGGTAACCTAACGTAATGTAACCTAGCTTAATCTAATTTAACCTGACTTAACTTGACTTATTTTAACCTAACCTAACCTAACCTAACGTAATGTAACCTAGCTTAATCTAATTTAACCTGACTTAAATTGACTTATTTTAACCTAACCTTACCTAATCTAACCTGACCTAATTTCTTAACCTAACTTAACTACTCATAAGTTAACCCTAAAACGTAACTTAACCTAACCTAACCTAGCTGCTGAGTGAAAGACGCTACCATTCTTATCTATGAACATTTTCTCTGCCTTAAGCCTCTTCACTGTTCACACTCATTGTCTAAGAACGTTTCCAATCTTCATTAAATCTTTCACCCCAGTGGCTAGTCTTTAACCTGGGCCCTTTTCTTATGCCGTGGGATCTAGTAGAGAGAGAGAGAGAGAGAGAGAGAGAGAGCTTGATGTCACCCCCTCACCTCTCACTCATAAAGAGGTTGTCATCCATCACTAAACGGGGGAGGTCATCCAGGAAGGTCGCTCGTTAATTAAGGGAGACGGAGACCGACGAGGGAGATAATAAACGATAAAGAGGAGTCAAGGTTGATGGAGATAAAGAAGAGAGATGGATCACAAGGGAGAATTAATATAAAGACAAGAAAATGTGGTTAAGATAGAATGTTATAAGGTAGATAATAAAGTGAAAAGAGATTAATAACAAAATGTAGAATGAGAAAGAGAGAGATAAGAAAGAGAATCACATTTAATATAAAGATTCGAATCCAGTACTGATCCTTGATAGTAAAGGGTTCAAATCCCAATACAGGAGGATACGTATCACTTACTTCCAAAGATGACGTCGTGAGGTAAACAACATCATTTTTTTAGTTCACGAGTTCGTCATCCAGCCAGGTTAATAACGAAACCTGAGAAAATAACAGCAATATTTTACTTAATTTATGGGAGTGTTTGTCACGTGTAGAATTGAAATAAATAAAAACATGGTTAATGACACTTAATGAATCTGGCCACTGCAACAATTGAAGTCTAATATAAAAACAAATGAAAGATTAAACGCCCTTTAGTCAATGCAACAAGTTGATGTATTAAAAACAACAACAAAATACAACGTCCCTGATAATTGTCTCCTCCAAGGCACGGACCTCAGCTGTGACGACCCAACACTGTTCTCCTGAGATAATTCGCCTCCGTTATCTCTCACATCACCCCAAAGGAACACCGTCCACAGCCAATCAAAACTGCGATGCAGAACGAGAATTATATATCTAAAATCTCTACTCAATCAGCATCAGCACCGAGTATTGAAAAAAGTCACGCGGAGGCTGAGGTTCAATTCGTGCTGTTGACAGGCGATAGTGTTTTATGCTTGGTAGTGTTCCTGTAAGTGACAGACGCTAATGGTTTATGCAGCGGGTCCCTGGCGCCTGACGCAAGACCACCAGCTTCGTCTTGTGTGTGTGTGTGTGTGTGTGTGTGTGTGTGTGTGTGTGTGTGTGTGTGTGTGTGTGTGTGTGTGTGTGTGTGTTGGTGTGTGTGTGTGTGTGTGTGTGTGTGTGTGTGGGTGTGTG